TTGATATTGGCCCTGTTAGGACAGAATGAAGTATCTGCTGTGCCTGTACTCATCAAGGTGCTGTCTGATGGGACAGATAAAGGTCTTCAGGTAATGGTCTTAATACAAAGCTAAGATTCTTTCTTGGTTGTTCCTGATGAACTGAAAAACAGATTTTAGTGATAGACTGAGATCTGTGAAATCTTTCCATCTGACCAACAGTTTAAAAATTGTGATTTCTCCCTCCAGGTCATATTCCACTGCACTGAAAAACTAGTCCAGGTAGAAGAGAGCTGCACTGGTTCCATTCTGAGGAACCTTCTCTTACTAATGCCTTCTGAAAAAGTTCTAGACATGGATGATCATCTCCCAACAGACTCCTATGAGAGATCAATGCTCCCCACCCGAGAAACTTTCTGAACCAAAGCATGAAAAACTCCCACTGTTCTCTTTGGAGCAGAAAAATAGGACCAGGCTTAGAGTTAGCAGTTCATGATAGGTTGCTTAGTTACACGACCCAAACCTGCCAAACCTAATGAAGCAATCTACTGATTTCCAAATCCCACAACAAGCAGGTGATCTACTTATGTCCAGCAAGTCTGGTGCATTCCAGACACATTGGATTTAGTGTGCACACAGACAGCTCTAACACGTGCAGTGAGGCTCACATAACTGGGATGCAAAGCATTTGCTGCATACTTACATAGCAGTCACACATGTACAGCAGGTCTGCAAAGAAACGTATCAGACATGCCCAGGTGGTATCTGATTGTTTGGGGACGTTTTCTGGTTGGTTTGATTTGGTTGGTGGTTGTTTTTTTCCTGAGAAAAGTCTACCTTTTGTGATAAACTCACAATTCTCCAAAGAAAATGTGTGGCATATGGGGCAAAACACTACTTCCAGACTATGCAAAAGGCCTGGAGGTATCATGGTCAGGTACAGTACAGCAGTACAAAGCAAGATATAGACACACTCTTAAAACCAATTATTTAAAATAGAAGAAAATTATAATGTATTTCACACGCATTTCTGAAGAACAGAAATCACGCTCAATCTAAATAAGCCATATATGACGCTATGAATTTATAAATGACACCACACATCAATACACTAAACACTTTAGTAGTAATTTAAAAGACAGAATGCATTTCCAAATTTTAGAAATAAATCCAGTAAGTTCTATTATATTACACATTAACAATATAAATATTTTAATATACTGTAAAATGTATGTGTTCAATGACTCATGTTAGGTTGTGTGCTGTGGACAACTGTCTTAACAACAACGTTTATGTGGTCATAACTAAGTTTTTAATTTAACACCCCATTAAGATGAGGTGAGAGGATTCACACCTCTGTCAGCACTATTGTTTCAAGTCCATCTCCATCTACGTGCAGAGTCAACAAGACACTATCCACTCGATTTACAGTGCTGACACCTTGGAAGAGTGAGCCACTGCTTCTCTTCCCCCATGCACATACCATGAAAATTCAGGTGTGCAAGTCAGTTGTCAGATTTGTTAATGGCACGTTAACACTCACTAACATGCTGTAAATACTGAATGAATACAACAATTCTATTTTTGTTAGTTGGACACATTTCTGAAGAGTGAAATTCAGCTTTCTACTACATATTTAATTAAAGAAAGATATCCTAAGTTAAAGACAAAAGGGTTTTCCTGAAACTAAGAGCAGAAAGCCCACAATTTTACCAGAAGGAAATACGTATGCACATAAAATGAAATTTCACCTGGAGGTGAATTAATACTCATGGATTTCTAGTTGTTTCACTCTGACATTAAACCTTTCCAGCTTGCAGGTAGAAGCAAGCATTCAATATACCACAGAGCAGCTTCTGAAACTCCAGGACAAAGCTACAGCTTCCACATATCCTCAGGTTCTTCACAATGAAGGGAGCTCTGTGAGACACAGAACATCAGCTCACACAGCAATCCACAAGAGCTGTGGATACCCAGCAGCTTTCCCAACTGGGCCTCCAGGCAGGGCTCTTCCACACTAAAGACAAAACCCTACTCTATTTCTGACACTGGCAGGCAGAGAAATAGCCATAAATAGTTGCCTTCAGCCAAAGGTCTGGGAAGGAGAATTAAAAATTGCATGTCCACCATGGAAAGTGAAATCCTGCCCAGCACTGGCTTCTGGGGCATCAGTGGGTGCAGAGCCCAGCAGTTCCACTCTCACATGTATTTTCCAGTGCCCATTCTGGGAAAAACCCCAAAACTTCCTACCCTCAAAATACAGCAGCAGCCATGTGCAATGTGCCAGAGAGACGTGAGAAGGGACCTACCTCTCCCTGCTCCTGCAGCTCCCTTCATCTGCTCCACAATGGACCCTGAGAAATTTGTCTTTTGCATAACATGAGGAATTTGTCTCCTATATTAACTTTGCCCCTTTCCAATGCAGAAACTTCTGAGCCTTTGCAGTGCACAGGTGATGGCTTTATTCAGAAAAATGGTAGATTTTGCTTCTCTTCCTGGGTCTCAGAAAATCTACATTGTTGAGTAGCTTGTTACCGAATCAGGCACTTATTGTATGTACAGATTACATAAACAAGAAGGTCAATTTTGTTTCAAATATATATGAATATGGTTCTGGGACTGAATTAACTACTGATTGAAAAGTTATACATTTTCAGCTAGCTAATCATATTTTATTTCACTGCGTACAGACAGAAGTGCAATGAAATTAGCTGTTTGTTTGTACATTCTGGAAAATGTTTTAACTTCAAGACTATAGAAAAAAAGACAGGAAAAAAATTAATATATGTTCAGGTGAGATTGACAGGGTAAAAGTATGCAGGTGATAACAAAGCACAGCTCAACAGACACTGAGTTGATTTCTCCTGATATTTGACCATGTTTTTCCTTTCCTTAGAATGTGCTCACCCTTCCTCCATCATGAATGTACAGTTTTTAAGCATAGGTTAGTGTATCATGGGATAAAAACAATCCCAGAGAGCCACTGCTGCATTTGGTTACTCAGTACTGAAATACAAAATGCTTTGTCAAGCTTTTCTCACACCAAATAACTGATAAGAATACACATAGTAACAATACTAATTTTATGTAGACAAGTTATTTTACATAATTTTGGTCAAAATACACATTGCCTTATCATATTTGTCTACGACCATTGAATTCTTCTTCAAGACAGGTGCTTAGTATGTGTACTGAAAATATCCCATTAAACCAGAACTACTGTTTTCAAAGACAGCCATAGCTGCAAAAGGGTATCCAGGATTATGAAACATTTGTCTGTGGGAGGGGGGAGGATATTGGTACTTCCACAGTGCCTTATTGTTCTATCATATCTAATCCTCAGTACTAGTGCCCATAATGATTCCCAACTGGTAGATGAACTACTTTGAACATCCCTGAAGCAGAATTGCTACCCACTAATGTATCAGCTAAATGTTAGAAGACTCCTAACTCCCCCATCTGTGTTTTACCTCCCCAGAGGGTAAATACATTGAGCAGTGATTCCCTTGCCTGGCACACACTTTCTAAACCTTACTGGCAATGGTTGTGATTTCCAGTCCAAGCAGCTTTGCAGTCAAAATCACCAGTTTTATGTGCTGCAGGGAACTAAACACCTACCTTATTAAAATACTGCCCTCAAAACACACTGCAGTTATGTATTGCCACTGTAATTGTTACCAGTGTAGTGCTGATAATATTATGGATTACAGCTAATATCAGGCTATTGAATTAGAATGTGACTACCTTTTATAGTTAACTTCAGGAAATTTATTGGAATTAGGATTTTTTTTATTTTTTTTTAGGAGCAAGGTCTGTAAAGAGTAACTGAAGACACACAGAACATTGAGGATTTACTGGGCTAAAAGGAAGAAACTGAAAAAAAAACCCACCAAAACAAAACCCAAAACAAAGCATCCACCCCCAAAACACCGCCAAAATATAAAAAAAATATTTTGTTCTCTTCAGAACTAGACACGTAGCCTGCACTCATATAAATACAG